CATTGACTGGAAATGGAACTAGAACGGAGCCTGGGGGTTTTTCTCCATGCACGCAGAGGTTGACTGCTCAGGGTGACATTATTCAGACTTGGAGGAGAGTCTGGAGCTGGTGGGTTCCCATAACCCATCTGCCCCTTAGCCTCACACACCCACCGCCCTCTCCATAGGGAATCACAGCCACAGGGCAGTTGTAATACACCAATTTGGAGCAAATCTTGTTAATTTACTCCCTGAGCTCTCCCTCCCTTCTCCTCCTTCTACTGTCTTAATGCCCCCCACCCCCCTCCACTCACCGTTTTCATTGCCTTCTTGCTTCATTTCCTTCAGCTTGGTACGGTGCCAGAATCCCAAAGATTGTGTACCCCCCCCCCCCCCACACACACACACACACACCTTCTGCTTTTAGAAGTATTTCGCTTCAGTATTATATTAATTTTCTTACTAGCCAACATGTAGATGCTAATGCTTACAAGTTTAAATTCCCGCCACTACTAGCCATGTCTTGCAGGGATATTCATGGCTGACTCTGGGATCTTACTGTGCACATTCTGCATTGACGGACAGCCAATGAAAGGATTAATGTTGTATTTCTTTGGCAGGCCCTTCCCTTTTGTCAACCCGATCCTGCTCTAATATGAATAATAAATCATTTCAGCCCCAAAGAATCAACACTTTCAGCATGCTAGGACATTAAAATGATAATCAACATGCCCGGCGGACTTATGAGGGCCTGTTTTCCATACACCTTCAGACAAAGTCAGATGGGGAATGTGTGGAGCGAAGCGCGGTAGTATGTATCTGAGTGTGTGAAGGTTGTGGCATGGATGAACCTCTGTAAAGAAACAGATCAAATGAGAAAAGATGTGTTTAGCACTTGTGGTTTGAGCCAAACCTGAAGCACCTGCAGATAGCCATCAGTGAAACAAGAACATTAAGACTAATGTCAACAAACTCCTCGTAGTAATCACCACTCGTTGCAACCCTAGGGGTTTTAGAGGTTGAAGAGATTAAAGTAATCTCGTGAATGAATTCTAATGAGTTAAACTAATTTCAGAACCCTGTATAAATTAAATTGCAGTAGACACTCACAGTCATGAACCCCTGTGATACGCCTGAACATGACCAAGGACATGTCTGAGCACGTCTGTCTGTATGGGAATGTATAGCAGGTTTAAAAACACAGGAGAACTCAAGTTGTCAACTTTATTTTAAGTAGAAAGAACTGTATGTACTGTGAATATAAGTATGTGTGACTGTTAAAACCTCTAAACCTTAAATGAGAATATAAGACCTGTGTGTGGCTTTGTGACATAACTGGGTCTTGGCCTGTGATGGGCAGGGAGCCTGTTACAGCAGGGTTAAGTAACACTAGAGCACAAGGTTCACTGCAGCCAGGAATACACACACACACACACACACACACACACAGTTTACTTGCACGTAATCTTTCGATTATGCAAAGACGCACAGGTGAAAGACACAAACACACACACACGTTCAGACTGTTACAGGCGTGTTGACAGGTGCTATTTTGAGATGCAGCCTGTCACTCCTCAGCCATACCAAAGCTTCTCTTAGCACACATTTCAGCAACTCTGAACAAGACCTGCCTCTCATGGCCAGAGGTCCTGCTGGAAAACTCTAACACAGGCTATGTTTGTATGATGTGTTGTACTAAAAGCACCCAAGAATGATTTTGTTTTGATTTTGTTTATCATGACTGACTTATTTTATAGTGTATCACTAAAATGCCTGGTGGTTGGGTATCCTTTGGAAAATGTGGAGGGAAAGTTTTTAGATCAGGTCATAAACCACCATATCCAAATTGGTCAATTTAATAAGTAAATGACAGCCTAAACAATGGCCACAATCAATAAATATATTGCTATAGCTGTGTGATATAGCATCTCTGGCTAATTATTATTATTAAGTATATTATTTGGATAAATGTGCCATTTGTTTTTGTGACCAAACATTTTGTTAGTATAAAAAGCTTGTGCAGTGGCTTTCCTGGTTAAAGACAATCTAAGGTTAAGATGAAAGATGTCCTAGTGTTATGCTTAACCTACTTTTATGAGGGCTAATGGTTAACTGACAAAGATATGAAATAAAATGACATAAGTGGGAATGTGGGAGAGACACCCATGAGAATTGTTAGGATTTGCTCAGAAAATCTCCTCATCAAAGTTGCACTGACGGCATGAAACTGTAGGTGTTCACACCTGGCTCTGTGTGGAACCTAAGGCCCCATCCACACTACTCCGTTTTTGTTTACAAACGGAGAATTAAAACGAATCCGATCTCCGTCCACATCGGCATTTCCGCTGCGTTTTGGAGATTATCTCCGTCTACATTAAAATGACTGAAAACACACAGCTAGGACCCGTTCAGGTGCACTGGGCATGCGCGTGCCGGTGTAAACATGAAGCAGATGGTCTATTCCGTAGTTACAGAAGATTTGGCGAAAGAATAAATAAATACAGACTAAGCATCAGACCAGTTTTTTTTTGTTGTTGTTGCATGGATCAATAAGAGCTGGGACTGTTACTGAATGTAACAGGAGAGTGTGGCAGCAGATAACAGACTGGGAGTTGTTGCAAAGTAAACGGCGACATGCACAGTACAAGTGTAGGCAGATGAGTGTTATTTGCACGGTACAGAATATAAAAAAAAAAAAAAAAATGATGTCAAAAACCCTGTCAGCAGCATTGTGTTTCTGCTTTGCAAGACCCAATCAGAGAGCCGAGCGTGAGCGGCTGCATCATCATTTCTAAAGTCCTCTGTTTTGGCCCGTCTTCACTAAAACGCCCTGCGGAGTTTGAAACGCAAAACAGGGGTGGCAGCGTTTCCAAACTCCGTTTTAGGTCTTCGTTTTCATCGTTGTAGTGTGGACGGGAGGTGCAAACGTAGCAAAAGGTCTCAGTTTTAATTCGAAAACGCAGTCGTGTGGACTAAGGCGCCATCCAAACACAATGCTGCTGTTGACATCATATTTTTATTAAACTATTATGTACCATGCAAATAACACTCATCTGCCTACACTTGTACTGTGCATGTCGCCGTATTTACTTTGCAAAGACTCCCAGTCTGTTTTCCGCCGCCACACTCCTGTGTTAATTTAGTAACAGTCCCAGCTCTTTATTGGTGCATGCAAAAAAAACAACAACTTTCCTCTTCTGTATTTATTTTTTCTTTCGCCAAATTCTTCTACCGTGCAGGTGTAAGCCTTCATGTTTACAGTGGTTTACGGCACGCGCATGCCCAGTGTACCTGAACGGGCAATAGATGTGAGTTTTCAGTCGTTTTAATGTAGACGGAGATCAACTCCAAAACGCTGGTGTGGACGGAGATCGTATTCGTTTTAATTCTCCATTTGTATACTAAAACGAAGTAGTGTGGATGGGGCCTGAGAGCTAGGGGGCTGTGAAAAAGTCCCCATAGAGAAGTAGTCCTCTGAACACCTGGCCCTGCAGGTCATCTTTGGTTTCACAGGCTTTTCACTAAAACCTGCAGCTTATGGCATGCTCGGGGACTTAATGCTTAAGACCCTGCTTGTCAGTTTGGAGCTGCAGAGTAAGTGCATCATCCTAAAATAAAGTCCCTGTGAATGTGAGTCATCTAAACTCATTTCATTTGTGATACTGTCGGTTGCCACAACTCTGTGTTTGAGAAGACACAACTAGAGTCTGTAATGAAAAGAGTCCCTTATAAGAAAACTAAAAGAGGTCATTGCCTGTGAGCTGCAGCCAAGATTTATTGACAGACCATGAGTAACACAAAACCGCCGACAGCCTGGCCCTCATGCCCGAAATTCCAGGAGTAACAGCTCTGCATGGTGATGGTGAACCTGGCCTTGACTTGGAGGGGCTACACACACAGCTTTGCTGTTTACTGAAGCATATCACAAAGCAAAACTTGAGAAGCCCTGACAAAATACGGCCTATAGGGCCTAGGCTCCACGCCCAATGGGACTGTTCCTACGGCCACTGATGAGTGTTAATCTCTGCTCTCTGACCTTCTGCGCCTACCTCCTTCCCTGTCTCTTTTGCGGGTCCCATATGTCCTGTGGGTGACCAGGTCACAGCCTTAAAAAACAAAAACTTTTACACTTAACAGCTCACTCAAACTCATGGCAACGCAGCAGTTATATAATTCCCCCGATGGCAGGATAAGCAACCTTGGCAGTTGCATATCTGACCCAAGAGGTTGACAGATCCCTGCCAAGGTTTACATAACAAAAGGCAAACAGGGCAATGCACTGTGGTAACGGTAGCATATGCCTATAGCCTATAAATATAAACGCAAATAACTGATAAAAACCATAACCTCACAGCCACAGAAAGACTAGATGACTAAGTGCATACAGTAGATGTTTTCACAGTGGAGGTTTTGCCTTCACACTTTTCCTCACCGCATTATTGTTAAATCTTAAATCGTCTTATACGGGATTGCGTCACTCAAAATAGGTTACTGTGTCTCCAGACAAACCGGTTACAACGTTTGTGGTAGCTCTTATTCCAGCCATGTGACTGTGACTAACTGTGACCTCAGATGAATATTATGCACATAAGTCATCAAAAAGACAAAGGACATCTGATGCAATTTCAATCAAAACTCCCCAACCTTATTTGTCTAGTAAATGTCTGTGAATAAGTGGAAGACATCACGTTTTGGTCAATTTATAAGGTAATTACGTGTAGTCACCAAACCCCACGCTACTTAAAGAGATTAATGATCTTAAATGCCTGCCCGATGTGATTTTTTCTCATTCGCCTGACGTTTTCTGACCGATCTGTAATTTCCATTAGAATGATAATGAGAGGCATAATGAGTGCCAGCCTTTCCAAATAGACGCTTGTAAAAACAGACTGCGCTGGCATAATTGTGCGCTTGTGTCTGTCTGTGTGTGTACGTCAGTGGGTTTACAAGCCACATGCTTTTTGTTTTTGTTTTGATGGAGGAAGGAGGGGGGCTGTGTGGGTGAGCGGGACGACTCTTACCTTCCATCCTGCAGAGCTGTTACTGTCGCCTTTGTCTTTGAAGTAGGGGATGGATCTAACCATCCAGTCATAAATTTGGGACAGTGTCAGTCTCTTGTCCGGCGCGCTCTCAATGGCTTTGGTTATCAGGTCGGCGTAGGAGAGATTGCCCCAGGCGTTACGACGAGATGATGCTTTCCTCGGGGTCTGCTGGGCAGCCAAGCTGCTAGGGGTCAGCGCGCCAGAGGCGGCCGTCGGGGAGTGCGTGGAGAGCGGGGAGCTTCCGCTCTCCTGGCCGGGGGAGGAGAGCGCTCCATCGGCTATGGGGCTGTTGCTACTCTGGTCCTCTGTCGCTAAACCAGAGCCATTGACACCGGTAGCATTGTCCTCCTCCTCATCCTCTTCCTCGGGTATAATGTCTGTGTCATTGATCTCCGGTTTCACCGCGTTCGAGTCTGGTCGTGGCAGCGGCCAGGTGCAAGATCTGGGCCGCTTCTGGGGTTTAAAGTCCGGGTCGATGACCACGTCTAAGTCAGGGAGTGGGTCGGAGAACGGAGCCTCAGCCATTATCTCCTGCTCCAGTCACAATCTCGCCCCCGCTGTGAGGTAATAAAGTTACAAGACAAGAAATGAAGAGCTGTCAAACTCGCGTCCCATGAATGCGCGCTCCCGTCCTTTGTTGCTATTCCACACCAGCGAAGTCCCAACAGGGCCAAGAGCAACTTAGTTATTAACGCCTGTTGAGGACACGCAGAAAGAAAAAATAAACCAAACACATTCTGTTAGAGCCAAGTAAAATACAAACTGAAAGTCACAATACAGCAGTGTGCACATTTAACCTATTTCTGTCAACGAAGCCACAATAAACTAGCCTACCTCTTAATTTAAAAACAATTTCAATGAAGCTAACGTTATGCGCCTCTCTGAGCTTCACTTCATTATAAAACACCACTTGCATGAATAGGCGCTCTACACAAAACCCCGTCCTGGCGCAAGGCTCTGAATCCACCCACTGGAGATCAATGGCAGAGGAGAAAGGGCTCAAACCTCATTTCTCTGGGAAATAAATCCGCTCTGAACACTTTAAATGAAATACCTTGCACGGCCAGTCACTTGCACTCCGTGGTACCAAAAAAAGAGAAGAGATTAGATCCAGGATTGTCCACGGCCAATTCCAGATGCCATCTTGACTCTCCCCTCTTTCACTCCTCAAGTGCGCTCTGCGATATACAGACAGATCGGATGCATGCGGGGCAAGTCACTGTCGATGTGGAATAAGACTGCCACCTCACTCTGGGTTACTACTGTATCTCGATTTGCTCTCCACGCAGCGCTGCACACATGCGCTCACACACATACACAAAGTACCCTACACACACTGACACGCGCATGCAAGTCGATCAAGGGCCAGCCCCCTGGATCCTGTGCATGGGATCGCCTTTTAAAGAGACACTGCAGTCCAACAGGACGGAGCTGTCTGTGCGCAGGTGGAGGCTGGGACACGTCCTGACATGTTGATTATAGGCACAGGAATAGAGGGACACAGCAGCAGAAGAAAAACGGACCTATTAAAGTGAAGCAATGTATTCATTTTAGAAAGATTTTCACTGTCACAACCGATCTGTGCTGGTAAAATGGATGTTTACATGTCCAACTTTAGTTTGCAGGATACTGCCACTAGGCCTATAGGTGTGCTACAGGTTTGTACTTACAACTTACTGAGGACTGCAACTAAAAATTATTTTCATTATCAATTAATCGGTCAGTTATTTTTTTTAACTAATCAATTGATTGTTTGGTCTATAAAATGTCCATCACATTTCCAGAGGCAGCAACAAGTGAACAGAGGACATATTTGCTTAAAAATTATCTAAAATAATGCAGATTTTTTGAAGATATAATCAATTGTGCATCCTCAGTAATTCAAGTTTCAGTAGCCATAATATTAAGATTACATGCCACAAGAGATTAAACATACATTCAATGTCAGTCCATAATAGGCCTAGCCTATATATTTTCTTATGTCATTGTTACATGTTACTGACATGATGACGGTGCTTCACAATAAAAACATTTGAAACATGATATCTCTTCTGATTTTCGCTTTAACAACATATTTGTTTTATTCTTGTTGCCTCATTGCAATGGCTGATTGTGCCTTTAATCAGCGAACCTGGTTGTCAATCACTTCTGCCACGGCGCTCAGGCCACGCCCCTTTCCCGTTTCACCTCGTTCAGGATGACGTCATTCCGTTTATTAAAGGGGAGCAATCCTAGATGTTTTCTCCATCCTGTAAGTGATGCTCTGGCCTTCTCTCCTCCTCCACATCTTCTTTGTTTCACCGAGGGCTGCCTGCCCGGCAAGGTGAGCGTCCAGCTGCGCGTGCTCGCGGTTTCTGTGCAGGAATGCACAGACTGTGCTCACTGACACACATTTCACCAGGCAGATTTGTACAGCGCGTGCGCGTACACACACACACACACACACACACACACACACACACACACACAGCAGCAGCAGTCTGGAGTCTGTACTGTACGGGATTACAGGAGATAGTCGGTATACACGTACACACATTGTGTGAAGGTTTTTGTTCCCTTCACATCAAAGAGAATACCTGATGCAGCAGTTTGGCTCCTCCAGAGAACTATAGTTAACTGCTCACTAGATGTACAGAGAGAGCTGTTGAATGTAGCCAACTGTATGAGACTGAGATATTTCTCTGTAAATTACCTTATATCATACTGACCCTTTAGAATATTTGCATTGAATTTCATTTCATAGTGCATAAAATATGTTACATATGATGTATGTCATGTGGAACAGAGTAAGTGTCAGACATGTCCCTTCAATACACTGCTGCAATTTCTTTGGCATTTGGCCAATTTATTCGGCACCAAAATACACCAGCTTCTCCCTAGATGCCCCTTTGAGGGCCGTAATAGTGTTGCACAAGGGCACATTCTTGCACACAAGCAAGAAAACACAAACACACAACCCCCAAACCACTGGTATTATTACCCCTTTCCTTTAGGGCACATTCAACCCACCACTTCATAACCTCTTCCAGGTTGGAGCCACATAACATAATTCAGTGGCCTGAAAACCTGATTGAAAAACTGTTTCAGAACAATATCTAAGCTCCGTTAAAGTATTTAACATACTAGTTTTGTCAACTGTGCTCTCTCAAAATAACAAAGAGACACAAGAACTGTTTTCCATCTTTCATCTCTCAGCATGGGGTATTAAGACTGTGGTCCAGAGAGGATGGAGACTATGACCACCCCTCTAAGCCAGCATGAATCATCCAATTAAAACAATGGCGGCCATCTCTGTTTGTGTCTGATGTTTCCCCCAAACAGAATAATGCTCTGATTGGATTAGGGGCCTCAGCATAGGGCGTGATTGATTTTTACTTTGAGAGTTATGGTGGGATAGACTTGGGTCCTTGCTGCCGACTCAACCACTTTTTAATGACACATGTCATGTGCATGAATCCCCCCCCCACACACACAGAACCACTTACTGTCACTTGAATCTAATGAGATTAAACATTTACTCTGGGGTTTTGTGGGATGATACTGGGTGCTTGGACACTTGCTGCTTGGTACAAACATAGTATCTTATATAACACTCTTGGTTTGGATACTGTATGTGCTGCTCTCTGTTCAGACTGTAGATGTTAGGGCGGGCTGGTCCAGGCTGGAGTGGTGCACCAGAATGACCTCATCCTTACATGGATGCAATAACAAAGCTTGGAACGATTGGTTGCCCTCTGCTGCCACCTACCGGCACACAGGAAGAACACCACGGAGTAAAAATATCTGTCTTTTAATTTTAACTAAAATATAGATGAAAATCTAGAAATGTGTTTATAGTTTTTCTACCAAAAATGACATAATCCATTATCCTTTAAAATATATTACAACTTTAATGTTGTGGTCATTTTGGAAGTCAAGGAAGGGCCTCTTCTACTTTTTTTGTGCCTTTCTTTTGTGCATTTAAAAAATGCACAATGCAAATTTGACTGTTGCTCTTAGCTACACACTCATGCCACTACTTCTTCAAAAGTCTGGATTCCAGGGTGCAAACCCTCTTCACAGTTCTTTGTCTTAACAATTTTATTATATTGAAATGCAGTTTGCAGGTGCACAGGTCATTGCCTGCAATAATACAACACAAATTTCCCTTCTAGGTCATAACAAAGTGTTAGAAATAGAAACTGTAATCAAACCATCTTGGCCAAAATAAAGACCAGTCGACTCCTTGATTAAGAATCTAGATCTGGAATACATACTGGCCAATCTAACCACTGATGTTAACATGAAGATGCCTCAACATTTTACTAGTAAATTCTAGTCTTATTCATTAAATACATGGATTAACATCATGCATACCATTTTTAAACCATCCAGAGACTGATATTGTTCCTTAAAAACAGGAGGGTCTAGAGAATGTTTGACCCTTTTCACATTCACCCACTAGAGGGCAGTAGCCAACTACTCTGAGGGACACTTGGCCCCTTTTTTCTCTGTGAAGTGAGCACTTGTTTGCCTTGCGGTTTACATATGTTTTTATATTCTTTAAAATAAAAAGTCCACAAGGGGGAGAGACCACACCTCACAGAGGACTAATAAGTAAAACGGCTTAACATGCATGCACAAGATGAAAGAAAGTCGGAGCTAACTGCCAAACATAAATCGCTTTGGTTGCCCAAAATAGATCTTTTCTATTTCTGCTAATTAGGAACTTCTCGTATGCAGTGTTAGTTATTAGTGAGGTACTATGTTGTCCGGAGGTATATGCTTATCAGGCAGTCAGCAGTGGATGTTAGCTGTTCATGTGTTTCTTGCTGTGACTGCGGTCTCCCTCAATCCAGTATGACTCCGTTTGCATCTCCATCAGTCTGGAGATGGTCCTCTTGAAGGCAAAGATCTCCTCCTCGGCTGTGAACAGAGTCAGGTGCTCTGCCGCCTCCTGAAGAAGGGAGCCAATAGTGTGGCGTTAGCAGCTGACACACCCAAATCCAATTTAAATTGAAACTCATTTGGGTTGGAGAAGAAAGGTTAGAGAAACAGGATTAAGACCAGGAGGATGTCTGTTTGATTCCTGGACCTGTACGATCAATGTGTGTGTAACTATGTCAGTGTGAACATGATATTCCTTGTTTTTGCGCTTAGCAAAACTTTTGTGAAAAATATAAAACTGAAAAAATTTCTATGAAGAAAAACCTCCCTTACACCTACAATGATGTACACTGTTAAGCAGTTTGTTATTAAGCCAAGAAAAGCTAATGACATATTGACAAATTACATTTCAGTTGGATTTAGACTGTAATTAGTTAGCTTAAATTTAAAACTGTAAATATATAATCAAATTGTTTGCATCATATGCTGCTGCAGACTCATGTCAATGTTACTGTAATTTTGTAAGCCCCTTTTATAAGTGTGTAATCTAACTAATAAACAACCCATTGATGTGTTTTTATCTTAATTAAAGTGCAGCCTACTATGAGGTGAACTGAACTGTCACATAAAGAGAAAATCAATTTTAGGATTCTGGGAACACAAAGTGCCCATTCATTGCTTGTAGGAGATGATGGTTTTCCTGCTGTTTTAACTCGTCATATTCTGTCATAGCAGATGTGATTTTACCCCGCTGAGGCCCAGGTCATCCAGCAGTTGTCGGTCCCTCTCATCTTCCCCTCCGGTGTGGACAAACAGCTGGTCTATAGGAGCCGCTGCAAGCAGCACCACTCTAACCTGGGAAAAGGACAGGAAGAAAAGAGGGATCAGACACGGGAATGTCCAGTTTATTTATGGAGGTTACTTCCAATATTATAAATGATTAAGTGTCTGCTTCCTGTGATCAATATTACATGAGAGCGGTTAACCATTAATTCATTCATTGCCTCCTGTACTGTACTTATAATATGTTTCTGGTCAATTTGAGGTGTTTTATAGCCTGAACATGAAGAATCAGTGAGAAGATTTAAGAGCATGTTAACTTTCATTTTCCTAAAATCAAATTTCCTCTTTGACACTAAGAGGAATTTATTGATAAAAGTTCAGAGGATGTGAGCTAATATGAAGTTGGCTTTCAACTTGTACTGAATGCAGTGCAATGCTGTAGTAACGTACTACATTAATATTTAATACAGAAATACTTTTTGCAGCAGCAAATACTGCAGCGATTTACTATTTCAGTTTCAGTGGTAATATTTCGGCCACCAGTAGTCATTTCTGCCATGAAGCACTTTACTTTTTATTATTTTTTGGGGCATTTTATGCCGAGACGAAATAAAAGCCCCCAGCTTGATGCAAAGTGGGGACGTTATGGTTAATGGTCATAAAACTTATGTAAATATCATATCCCATCTTGAATTTAGACTCACTTGCAATAAAATGAACCATCATTCTTTAAGTTGCTGTGTGTGCTGTGCATGCACACTAAATAATAAAGCACAGAAAGTTGCTATAACACAGCTTTCAAACTTTTAAGCATGTCGCGCTTGTGAGATGATGAATTTCTTTTTGACCATTTTTCAGTAGCAAGCCCAACTCTAGTCTGTCAAACAGATACCTTGTTGTCGTAGAAGTTGTCTATGAGGGTGGTGAAACGCCTGGCCTGGTCCTTTAGGGTCAGTGTCAGCATGGGGACACGGCGAATGAATACTGTATCGAAGAGCCGAGCCATTTCCAGGTAGTCACTGGCACCCAGAGCCTGGAAAACAACTGAACAGGTTACAACCCGGAACAGTCAGACTTGCACGGAGCAGAGAGTAAACATTTTCAGTGTTGCACATGCGCACAGCTGCTTTGTAAATACACACAGACACACGCACTGTGAATGTTGCCTGTATGTTTGGGTCAGGCTGATGTCATTTTAGCCCCAGTCCTTGGCTCTTTTCCATTCAGGATGATTGCTCTCTAAATTAATGTGGACATACCAACGTATGTCAGATAGAACAAGAAGCCTTGAAGCTCAGATGCCTGCAAAAAGCTCACCGTGCGCGCACACACACACACACACACACACACACACACACACACACACACACACACACACCCTTTATTTGAGGCAAAACAAGTTCAACTATTCACAAAATTGTCAATAGACTTGCTTTTTGACATTGGGCAGAAAATAGGACTGAGATGGAGGGAAGGTGAATCAGTTTGAGAGCAAAGGCTTGGGACAATATGTACACAGAGGAGGGCAATAAAGAGACAAGAGAAGTGCTTTGAATTTGAGCAGTTTTGATTAGTGAGTGGATTTTGTGTGTGAAAGTGTACTGTGTGTGCAAGTCAAACAGAGATTGGGAGCGTTGCAGTGCTCAGGTGGTCTAAAGTACATACTGTGTAACTGGAATATCTGTGGTTTGAGTCTGGCCAGAAGTCACCCCCCCGCTGTCTTTTTCTTTTTTGTAGAGATCATTTGTAGAGAAAACTGTCTTAAGACGAAACAAGATAAAACACTCACTCTGCCACACAGCTCATCAAAAGTACAGTCGGCGATGGAGCCACAGGTCTTTTCCAGAGTCACGTCTCTGCCCAGCACTGTGAGCAACCGAGGGCCTGTAACTATGGAAACACACACACACACACACAATATATATATATAACTAACTATTATATATCGTTTTTACCATTACTTTTACAGTTAAACCATTATATTCAAAACAAATCTGTGAAGGAATGAAAGTTAAAGTTCTCAGACTGCAGAAGTCAAATTCTTACAAAGTAGAGAGCAGGAAGTTAAAAATATAAAAATGCCTATAGTGACATACATCATCAACAGTTTCAAAATTTAGATTTTTATTCTTTGTCTACAAATGCTAATAAAATACAGTGTTTTTAGATTTATATTTATATAAGAAAACAGTCCATTTCTAAACTACAAGTAAACCTGCAACCATTTTTAAAATCAAACATTAACTTTTCTTAGCTTTGAAGCTAAATGATGTGTGACCTAGAATAATGCACAATCAAGCCTGTCAGATTTTTGCAGAAAACCAATTTATTTTTCTCTATTTCTTAAGGGTAGGGAAAGGGTAGGGAAGTCTGACGATATTTGATATTTTGTTGTTTCTTTCTGTAAATTGACCAGTGGAAAAATCCCCACAAAAGCTGGGGATAACTTCCTTACCGCTCTTTTGTCTTAAGGCCAGCTCCTCAAACAGTGCATCCAAGAAGGCCTCCGCACAAGGGTCCCCTGTGCTAACAAGACACACACACACACACACACACACACACGGGCATCAAAACAGAAAAAATAGGATATGAAATTAATAATGGTGAAGTGGCCACATCAAACGGTGGCAGCAAGGAGTGCACGGGATGGGGGGGGGGGGGGGGGGGGGGGGGGGGGGTTGCTTAGCTTTTCACTCCATCAGTGAAGAACAGGATGTTAGGCTCTAAACACAAGCATTAGCCTGTGAATGCATGTCAAAATGGGATAGTAAAGTGTGTGTGTGTGTGTCTGTATGCGTGCTTGTGTTTTAACTCCAGGTAAAAGGGTGTGATGCGCTCTATTTACATACAGTGAAAAGACGAAAGCACTTGAAAGCTCCAGTACAGCGATGAGTAGCAGTGTCATTCATACCTTGTTTGTCTGTGTGTGTGTGTGTTCCTCACAGCGTACATGTAATGAGGAAAATAGAAAACTAGCTTTTAAAGCTCTACCATTTTCTCATATTCTATTGATTCCTCTTTCACTCTTTTCATGGATCTCTCAAGGTAATGAAGGTCTTTATGAGACTCCAAGTCTGCTTCTTTCCATTTATCCATCTATTTGCCTTCTCTTGCTGTACTTAAAAAAAAAAAAAAAAAAAAAACGAACTCAATAATGTGCGCAAACATTTCCTTTGTGTGTGTATGTGAATGCTTGTGTGTATGTTGTGGATGCAGGTTAATGTGGACTTTTTACCAGACCTCTGCATAACCTCTGAGCTGAGTGTATGTGTCTTACAGGTAGTAGAGTTTCCCCGCTGCAGCCTTGTCCAGCCTCCTGTAGTCAGTCCCAGAGTCTAAGCAGATGGTGTGGCAGTACTCCTGCACAGGTACAAAACACACAGAGGGACAAATGAAAAGTCTGTCAAAGTGACAATATTATTATTTTTAATATGTATTGTAATATGGTAGAAAATCTAAATTTCAATTTAGATTGAAATTTTGATTTTTGATATACATATTTTGTCTCATTTTTTAATAGGTTGCTGTTTCTAAAATATATTGTTTCTGCTACAGCGTATTCATCCTCTGTGACAAGATTGTTTTTATACCACTTATTTTCCTACACCCAATACTTTTAAACAAATCCCATGAAAAGACCAAAAGCAACATTGCAGCAGTCCATCTCTCAATACTTCTCAACTTCCCTACCTTTTCTGTGCCCTATACCCATTGGTTCTTACTAAAGATGTGCACCTTGACAAACAGGTCATGTATTCATAGACTTATCAAAAAAAGGATGAATTTTTTCCTAAACAGCTGGGCACTATAGTTTTTACTAAACATTACTCAAACATGTGTAAATAGTGCCTCTGTGAGGGACTTTGTGAGGGTCTTCAGCGGCAGATTGATTTCACAAGTGAGTATTTACAGCAGCAGGATGGAGTATGTGGATTGACTCAGATAAACAACAGGTTGAGTGTTCATGGTAATGAAGGAACATCTCACCCAATGCAACAGTGTGCCTCATTGATGTGTTTTTAAAATTTTAATAGTAATTTGTCTTAATTTTCCCCAAATTGGGTGTTATACACAGACTTATTGGTGTATCAGTCATAGTCACTCACTACATAGGTTTTGACCTTTATATACAGTCTATGGTTTTGACCTAAAAGATAATAAGGTTGTTTCAGAGATTTTTCAGTGGATTATGGTTTGCCGTTTTGCTGTTGCCATTTCATTTCAGCCACCAACTTTAGCTTTAAGGTTTGATTCTACTAAAGCATTTTTTTATTTTTAGTACAATTTCTTATATTAATATACATCTAAAATATTGTAGTCTCACTCTAGAAATACTGTTTCTAAATGGATGAGTGCACAATAAGAAAAACATAGAATATCACCAGAAATATCCTAAATTAGATTCTTGTGTTGTCAAAAAAATCTAAATGTACTTTTTAGCCACATCGGAGTGTCATATCAATGTTGGTTGTGTCACATGGAAGTTACCAGGGAAGTATTGAAAATATGGAAAGGAAATAATCAAAATGTGCACAAAATAAACTGAATAAACCTTAGTAATCTCATTAGATGTTATCTTTCTGGAGTAGATTCATGTTGTGGAAATCTTTGAGATAACTGAGATGGTGCTGAGAAGTCTATGTTTGTTGTTGTTGTGAATTAAATTCTTGTGTTTCTACTGCTCATCTGCCATGTGAAAAGAGGGCAATAAGAGCTTTATGTCACTGCTTCAATCTTAGTATAAATAATTAAATGGACAAAGAGCAAATAAGGATTGAGTTAAAGCGCAACACAGAAGGCAGGAGACATCTTGCTCTCCTATGGGATTTTGTGTCACTTCTTCATGCTTTATTGGGCTGATCTATTGTTCCTGCAGCGATTCAAGTGTGTTACAGCAGGGGTGAACATGTGATGCGGAGTTCAAACTTTTACAGATAGTGTAAAACGTCAACAGGATTCATGTCAGGGAGTACAGCACAAACTATAATCATCATCTCCACCATTCTATCAAAGAAAAGAAAGGAATTGCATATCATCCCATCCAAGCCATCACCGACTGACTGAGTATTCGACGACAGCTCCAGTAAATTATGAAATCAGTGAATTCCTGCCACTGGCCTCCTTAAGCTGCAGGATAATTAGTAATCATCACAAAGCAAGGGGACGGAAATACTCTATTCTTCTCCGCTGTCAACTTTTTATCTCCATGTCCGCTCACACAAACGGGGTTCCTACTCTGAGCCAATTGGCTGAATCAGGCTTAATAACAACCTGACAAACTCGCCCTCCCCCACGCACAAAAGGGAGGTGTCATTTCATCAACCTATGGTGACCCCACCAACGGGTAAATAGTCCCTCCAAAATGGAAGAAAAAAAAAGAAAAAAAAACAACTTGTCACTATCGCCGCCACATCATTAGAATCTCAGTTTGTCTTTTTCTCCTGCCATCTTCTACTCCCTCCCTTTATGAACTGTCGCTACCTACGGCAACGGCAGCAGATGCGTTTCTTGACGGAGAAGCGAGGTACAAATAAGAGAGGGGAAAGAAGGAGGAATGGAAACACAATCAGTGATGATGATGATTCCATTGGTTATTTATAATCAGATGAGGCTGAGGCCTTGCGGGTCATTACTTGATTATCCATCTTGAGAGGATTGTCAAGTTCTCACTCCTCCAAGATTTCATCCGCCTACACATTGTGGTCTTGCCCCCCCCCTCCACCATCAGGATACTCTCACAGACTCCTATCCTAGTTAGTCTACTTTGCAACATACAGTCTCATCACCAACTGTGCCTTTAGCTTATTCTGTATCTTGCCATTCCACTGCACTGTTTTTTCCCCCAAGTGTACTGTTAGATCAATTGCCTGATCGCTCTATTAGTTGGCCAACAATTTTGATGATCAATAGAGTTTTGAGCAAAAATGACATTTGCTGGGTCCAGCTTTTCAAATGTGAGAATATGCTGAGTTTTCCTGTTTTATATCCTTGTAAATTGATCAAATCTTTTGCAGTAATTTTTTTTGTATTTTCATACATTTTCTGGGCTAATCAAGTGATCAATTAATCATTACATTAAGGAACAGATGAATAAATAATGAAGATAATATTAAGTTAAAGACCTAGACCCAGCCTGGTGTAAAAGTCACTCTATTAGTTCTCAGTGCCATGCTGTTTATTCTATAATGCCTAAAGTCTACACTTGCACGTATGCTTAATGGACAAAATATCAGGGATCCTTTTCATGAAGTAGACTGATGTTAAATCATAGATGTATTTGTAAACCTTGAGGTCACTCTGCCCAAATAACTAATACCAAAACACTGGGATTTTAGTAAGGCAAAATTACTTTGCACAAGGTATTTCTTTTTATATGTCAATGTTCAAATACGCACCAATGTCACTTTTTTTCCTCTCTATTTCAATCGCGGCTCAAAAACAGCAGTCAGAGAGACTGTTTAACTTTGTGAAGTCATTTGACCAGTCGATTATGAAAATTGTTGTAATTAATGTTCTGTCATTTATGAAGTAAAAGTGCCAAAAAAGTGTCCCGGCCTCACGGAAATGTCACTGATTTCCGGTTCTCAAATGAGAGAATTTGCTGCTTTTCTCTGTTTTATATGATTGTAAATTGAACATATTTGGGTTTTGATCTGATGAAGATGTCACTTTGGGTTCTGGAAAATAGTGAGCAACATTTACCATTATTTTCTGAAATTTTAAAACACAACACTCACAGTAATTAGAAAAATAACTGACAGATTAATTTGATATGGAAAATAATTATTATTTCATTATGGTCATGAGTAATGCCACAGTTTTATCTTCTTGTAAAAACAAGCCCCATATGCAGCGGACTCACAGAAAAGCAGCATGGAAGCAGCTCCACTGCAAATTAAGAGTTTTACTACTTGCAGGGACGCATTCACGAGCTGACAGAAATAAGAGGGGAGGGGAGAGACAGAAGAGAGAGATGACAGACATGAGAATCAGAGTTTCTTTAGAAGAAAGTCATCCAAACACATGTAGCTCCAATCATGTCATTGTCCAAGCTGTCCACTGCTCTCTCTGGACAGCCGTTTAGCATAAAAACAGAGTGGCTTTTTTTTTTTGGTGGCTGCCTCTGCTCCCGCTCCCTCTACGCCATATCTTTCTCTATCCTTTACTCCTCAAAAAGTTGCTTTTGAGTTTTTCAAAGAGCGCGGTGCCATTGAGCTGTAACAAAAGGCAAGGATAGCTGACTATTGGGCCCTGATGAGGTCCACTCCCTCATTACCCAGCAGCAGAAAACATTTGATGCTTTTTTTGTTTGGCCCGGAGAATTGACCAGGCCTCAAAGAAATGCGGGGGTGGGAAGGCTGAAAAAGAGACGAAGGGGGGAGAGAGGGGGAGAGAGGGAGGGGAGGGGAGGAGGGGAAAGGTTGTCGTTCATTCAACCGTGTGTGTCTTACAGCCTTGTGTGGAGGGAAAGAAGAAAAGAGGGAGGGAGGGATAGAGGGGTCGAGAGAGAGAGATGGGGGAGAAAAGAGAGAGAGCTTAAAACACTGCCTTTATGCTGGCAAGTTCTGGACGACTCTTCTGACATCAAAGTGTTTTCACTAACTGGGGAGCTTCAGTGTGTGTGTGTGTGTGTGTGTGTGTGTGTGTGTGTGTGTGTGTGTGTGTGTGTGTGTGTGTGTGTGTGTGTGTGTGTGTGTGTGAGAGAGAGAGTGTGAGTAGGGGGGTGTATCTGGTGATTTTATTCATTCTTGGGCAGTCGGGGGGGTACATGACAATGTGAACACCCTAATTACACCTAATGATCTATTCCCTTAAAGTGTGACCACCTTGGGCCAGCGATGGTTTGTTCTGAGAGGTCGTTCTCACAACCTCCCCCTGCCTCGGCTGCTCCTCTTGGGGAAACATCTTTTGAGTTGGAGGCCCCACCTTTCGTGATCCAGGACCCCACTGGACCCCCCACCCTCAACCCCTCTCGAGCTCTGTTGAGGCCTAAAACCGAACCGCTCCAAAACTCGGTGGTACATCTGTGGTTCCTGCACCTGGCCAACAGAGGCTACCCATGTTGGTAGCAACACAGAGATATGAATTGGACTCCATGCAGCTGAGCATATCACTTCAGCAGACAAAGCTCTGTACTGGCTTCACAATTATAAGAGAATAGATTTTAATATGGCTAATACTTAATAAATCATAAAATGATTTAGGACCAAATACCTTTCTGATCTTATGGTATAATATCAACTCAAACTCAAAGTTCTCAAATGATTTTGCATCACACTCCTATAACACTGTTGGACTCACGATGGACAGTAAAAAAAAAAAAAAGAAAAGAAAAAAGGACAGAACTGGATGCAGCAGAA